TGACATATGTACCACAGCATAACTTCCTTCCCTTACAAACCAGCCACGTCAACAGTGGTCACTCTTGGCATCTGGTTCTCTTCCAATCAGTGCAAATAGGTGTCTGGCATAGGAAGGCGGCACCCAATATATTGGAGGTAACTTTAATGAGCACCTAATGTATGAGCAATGTTGGATCTGGCCATGGGGAAGGGTGACATAAACATGAAAGAGAGGGTCCCTGTCCTTCAGAATCTGTGAATCTCAAGTGGGCACATTAGTAGCTGCTCCCATGTTGGATGCCATCAGAGCAAAACTGCATGCTGTGAGGGGTCTGAGGAGGGGACTACTCAAAAATGCTCGGAGGGACAGGGTAAAGGACGTGTCGCTAGTCCCTGAGCAGCAGGTAAGGTTTCCAGTGGGGATAGAGAACAGAAAGCCAACAACTCCTGCTGCTGCGGAAGGCCCCGGGGCTGAGGGGTTAGGGGAAGCCTGCAGGGACATAAAGCTGGGACTGAGGCAGAAGCTTCAGCAGTCGTTAAGAGAGAGAAGGAACGAGAAGGACTCTGCCCCGAACCTGGAGAGAGTCCTCCCTCCCATGTCCTTGCAGCTTCTCAGCCCACCTCCTTCCTTCCTTTGCCCCATGACTTGTGCTCCAACTGCCTCCTGGGCTCCTCCTTTCAAGCTGGGAAGTCTTAGTCAACGAGTTTGCAGTTCCTGATGCCACTGTGCTTCCTCCATCTGCTTCATCATGCGCTCCCTGCCTCTCTTCTCTGGACTCTCAGCCTATCCTTAGCCACCACACCACTGTGCCCATACCCAGAATACCCCACTTTCCTCTCCCTTATATCCACCCCCCAGGCCTGCCTGCCCTCAACATCTTGGCCATGCCTTGCCCTTTCTGCACCCTCACCTCTTCCTTGACCCTGAGGGCTTTCTGCTACACTCTGAGAGCAAGCTGAACCCAGTTCGAGACTCCAAAGCCCACACGCAGGGTGCCTCGGCTTCCCTCTCTCTGCTCGTCCTCTCTGCCACAGCCTGCCCTCCCCTAACGCCCACTCCTACTGAAGGAGTCAGGGGAACAGTGGTGGCGTAAGGATCATGTGGCAGGCGCAGGAGCTCCTCCACAGCATCCCTGGTCAGTGACTTAGATATTTCCACTGACTGGGAGCTCATTCCCTCTTGAGTCAGGTCCTTCCATGTTGGGACAGTTTGGCTACCAGAAACTCCCTCCTTATAGTAAGTGGAAATGTGCTTTACTGTCAGTCCTGCTCACAGGTTCCATTCTGCCCTCTGGAGCCACACCAGGTAAGTCTAGTTCATCTTCCACAGCTTGATGGCTAAGTATGTGAACTGCAAAAGCAGATGATGAGGGTTCAAATTCTGGCTCTGCCATTTACTAGCTCTGTGGCCTCAGATGAACGTCTTCACCCTTCTTGGCCTCTGTTTTTTCATCTGTAAAATGGAGGTGATAATTGCACCTCCCTCACAGAATTATATCAATATTAAATGAGTTAATAGATATAAAGCTCTTAGAATAACACCTGGCATATAATAAGTGCTCAGTAAGTTGTACTATCTGAGGAAAGATGTTTTGTTTCCTCCTTTCCTCTTCTTTCCTTGAGTTACTATCCTTTTGAAAATAGTCTTCACATAGCGTAACTCCACCATGTCTCACGACCTGGAAATTATTCTCCTATTAGTGCAGTGAAGACTAATTGATTTGGGGAAATCTGCCTCACCCAGTTGGTTCCTGTTGATCTTGTGGTCAGCAAAAATCCCAAGATCCTTTCACTTGGTCCTCTCAGGGCTGGACCCTCACGGTGCTCCAGCTTGACCTTCCCCTCACCAATCCTCCAAACCCCCCTGTGCACTCTAGACCTTCTGGGCACAGGCTCTGCACATCCTCAGTGTGGCACCCAAGGTCTAGAATGCCCTTCTCTCTTCCCCATTGGTCAATTCATCAGTTTCTCAGCCCTTCCTCCTCAGTAAAGCCTTCAAGGTCAATCACACCAGAGTGGTTGGTTTCTCTGCCATTGTCCCATCCCTGTGGTGGGCCACACACCTGTCTTCTTACCACCTGTAGGGCACTGACCCTTAGCCAATGCAGGTACGACCCACCTTGGCTTTGAGGTCTTACCCTTATTCTGGCTGTTCCTTCCACAGGCTTGGGGCTCAGAAGGCCTAGTCTGCGCTGCTCCCGCAGTGTCTAGCAGAGAACAGTGTACGAGCAAGTATGTGACACGCACATAAGAGCCCCTCACGGTCATGCCATGGTCTCTGCGTCCTCTACACTTCCCCACAGAGGGACATCCTGTTCCAGTGGCTGCAGTGGATGAGGGCTGGACCATCTGACAGACGCCTGGTCAGGCAGGGAAGAAGTGAACAGTTCTGACGCACCCTACTTCCCTCCCCTCTCCAAACTCTTAGCTGTTTTTTTTTTCCTTTATTTTCCTTCCTGTGTTGAAAGAGCTATGGGGCCTGGACCATGGTAGAGTTTCCTGGGGACATTCCACAAATTCCTCATGGACTGATGCTCTGGAGAGGGTGGGGGCAAGCGGGTGGGTAAATGGGAGGCTAGTGGGAGCCAGGGTATAAGTATCGGGGTGCCTCAAAGGAGCGTGGGTGGAAAGGAAGGGCGGGCTGCATAGGAGAAGGAGCGATATTATGAGCTCATAGAAACAGCCGAAGGAAGGCCAAATGAAGACTGAGAAGTAGTGGCCATTGTGCAGGTTGGAACGAGCCGTGGGCAGCCACGCCCCTAGCCTTGCCCTTGAACCCGCTGACTTGCCTCCATAGCGACTTGTCTGCCGGGATTCCAACAGGGCCGGGAGAGCTTGGCTAACTTGGGTGTGTGGCTTGGAAAGATGCCCCAAGCAGCCCCCTGTGCGTGCTGCACAAGATGTACAGAGATAACGGGAGGGTCAGCACAAGGGTTCCTTTGCGTCTGTCTGGGTCACTCCTCCTTTGTTCTGTTCTCATACACCCGGTCAGCAACTGTTCATTCCTTAACTCAGACACAGGACTGATGTGAATGGAGGCACAAGTCCCTGGCTGAGCTCCTTAGCAAGCCTGGACCTGAAAATAGTTCTCGGCCTCCATCCCTGTGCTCCGGGGCTGCCTCTTTAAGTAAAAAGGGTGCCAAATTGAGTGTCAGGGCAAGAAGTGACTTGTCACAGTCTCTATGCTTGGACAAGTCACTTGTCTTCTCTGGACCTCAGTTTCCCTGCCGAGCAATGAGCGTATTGGGCCAGATGATCTCGAAGATTTCTTAGAATGGTTCTATTTCTCAAAAGCAGCTTGGGGGCCTATCCCATGTGTGAACACTTGGTGAAAGAATTAGGCAGAAGGAGGTAAATAAATATGAATGGAGCATGACTCCTGCCTTTAATAGAACTTTCAAGGGAATAAAGGAGACAAACAGTCACACAAATGATCCAGAACAGTGAGTGAAGGCCCTGGAAGAACTAGGGAAGGTGCTGAGCACCAACCTCACTGTGGGTACTGCTGGCCCTTCAAAAGCCTTTGTGCATTAGAGAAAAAGTCGGTCTCTGTGGGCAGATGACTTAGTAAGGGGAGCCCCTCTGGATGGATGTTAAGACCCTAGGGTACCTGGCTTGACAGAGAGAGTTCAGGCTTGATTTCAACTCCTGCAGGCTCCTTGCCCCAGTGCCCCTTCGCAAGGTGCTATCTACCTGTTTATACAAGCAGGGAAGTAGCCAGCTGCAGGGGTCCACGCTGAATTCCACACTGGCCCAGTGGAATATGCCACTTTTAAATCTTGGTAGAATCTCCCAAGGCAACTCCCCCTCCCCCGAGTTCTGGAAAGGCAAACACAGGAACCGCATCCATACTCTCTTCCATGGGCCTAAAGGCCAAGCCAAGGTCCTCGGTCCCAGGCAGAATAGGGGCACAGGATGGCAACAAGTAGCAACCTCTCCACAGAGCGAGAAAAGGGTTAAAGGGCCTTAGCATCAAGAGAACCAAAAGCAGTCCGGACAGTTCAGCACCTCCACACAAACCTAGACCAGTGTTTCTCACCTCCTCTGGCCGCAACTCAGAACAAGCAGAACATGCAAATTCTTCCTCAGGCTCTCTCCCTGCCACCCCCTCCTTCCACATTCCTGAAAGACATCTCTCCCTGGGCTCTAAATGGATTTGGGGGAAAGAGCTGCCCTGGGTGCTGTCAACATCAAAGGGTGAGATGCGCTGAGGTCTTGCATGGGCCTCGATCCACAGGTGGCGGGACAGGGGAAAGGTGGCAGAAGGGTAAGCTTGGGAAAAGGGGATTAGCTGGGACCGGAAAGAATGAGGCTGCTGTAATCCCACATAATGAACCGGACTGCACTCGTCTCTGCACCCTGAGCTCTAGATAAGCAGGTACAAGCTGCTGGCTTCAGCCCGCTGCACCAGAGGCCCTCGGAGCTGCCAGCCCCAGCCAGTGCCCTCCCGAGGTGCCCAGGGCAGGCATGAGATGAGATACTGACTTCCTCCTGGCAGCTCAAGTCTTGAGGGGGTAGCAGAAGGGCAGGAAAGAGTCTGTGATTGCAGGACGAGGCAAGGCAGGAGGGCAGTTTCTCACTCGGGCACCATACGCTTGGATTCTTCGAATTGGGCCCAGTCACCTGCTCTGACCAGCTGCTTTGGACGCAACAAAGACTTCTGACCAGTGCCATCAATTCTATGAACGTGGCGAGGGATTTGTGATGTGGGTGATTCATAACGCAGATAGTCAAAGCATCAGTTCTACTTGGTTTGCGGATAAAGGGTGATTCTTTTTTCCTGCCCTCAGAGGGAGGTGCCTGTCTAATTCTGTGAAGTTTGGGCAATACTGAAATATGCTTGCCTTCCCTAGACACTTGCCGACTAAGGACTGGAGGAAGCAGCTAGAAGATAAGCCACAAAATGAACCCCTACCTACTCCCCGATTCTAACCCCCTTCAAGAAAAGGAAGAGTTGCCTGTATTATATCTCTGCCAACAGCTGAACAGCACCAGGTGTCTGGGCTCATGGACTCTTACCTTTTTCAGCTTGCCGCTCTTCGTCCCCACAAAAACCACGCTGTAGCCATTGTAAACGTAGGAGGCCACGGAGGTCATGCGGTCCCGGCTGGTGGTATACAGGGTCAGGCCCTCCACTGGAGTCGAGCCTCCCAGTGGCTGGTTGATGTCCAGTCCACAGAAGTTGTCGTCGATGGGGACCGGCTGGAGGGAAGGGAGGGGATTGGGGTAAATGACAGCAGAAGTCGGGCAGAGTCTCCTTACACTAGCCCCCACCCAACCGTCAACTTGAGGGCACAAGGCCTCCCAGAGGTACACACGTGGGGTTCAGGAACCTAACACATGCCTCAAACAAAAACATCTCACCAAGGGACTCACAAATCCCACTCTGGCTCCTGTGAAACTAGATAGAGGGGTCTGCAGCCTTCCTCACCCTAACCCACAGCCACTCATCCACTCTTCTGCCAAGGGATCAGGGGTCATCTGGAAAGCTGATTGCTTGCACTCATTTTCTGGTCATTTTAATGTCCCTGGGGACCAAACCCTTCTGTAGGCATGCTTCTATTTAGACAGGGGAGATTCTGTCTGGAAGTGTCATCACAGGATTTCCATCAGCTGGAGAGGGTTTGTGTCTTGGGCTGCCAGGTCTCCCTTTGGGCATAAGGAATTGTAAGCCATCCCATTATTCACCAGATCCTATACCGGGGATAGATTGAAAAGGATCATCATAATATGGGGCAGGCCCTCATACTTTGGAAAACTTACTTCACCGGCATAAATCTCAGTTTCTTCATTTGTCATACTGCTTGACCACTTTTCTGGGAAAATTATTGAAGAGCAAACGGAAGAATCCATTCCTCAGAGCTTTGTTAAGTCGTACAATGGTTTCCACTATTGTATACTATAGGTCTTCAGCCAGGTTCACAGAGATAAAAACACAAGAGAATGCTGGAGGTGATAGCCTTCCTGTTACCGGGCTTTTGAAGGGTCTGGTGGTGTGCCTAGATAAAGAGTCTCTTTCAGGAAACACCAGGGCACCTTGGAAAGAAAACCACCCTGAGCCAATGAAAAATTCGCTTACCCCAAAGTAGAAAGACCTGAATTCTGGCCTCTGCTCAACTGCTAAGTGGCTGTGTAAACCTAGAACAGTAATATCCTCTCTTGGGCTTGTTAAATGGGATAGTAAATGGATTATTTCTAAGATCTCAGTTAAAAGAAGAAGAAGAAGAAGAAGAAGAAGAAGAAGAAGAAGAAGAAGAAGAAGAAGAAGAAGAAGAAGAAGAAGGAGGAGAAGAAGGAGGAGAAGAAGAAGAACAAGAAGAACAAGAAGAACAAGAACAAGAAGAACAAGAAGAAGACTGCATGCTTCCTGAGGACAGGGGCTGCCGAGGGGCTTGTTTTGCCTGCAAAACACTCATCTGGTGCAACAGATGATGGGACTGGGTCGTGATGGGTCCCCTGAGACACCCCAGCTGACTGTACAACCAGGAATGCTGTGGGCAGAGGCTGTAGACTCTGGGCCAGAAGGAACCCAGAGTTCCGTGATAGCTGTTCCTCCTGGGTCTGAGAAGGCAGCCCAGAGAAGGAAGGAAATGACTATTGTGGGAAACATAGAAAGCATGAGGGAGAAACCTGCAAACTGTTCCCTTCCACTTCCTCCTCTTACCCTCCCCGGGGAAGAACAGGCTGGTGCATCACTCACTGACAGCTAATTTCCTTGGAAGAATTGGTTTATGAGCTAGGGCATGTGATGGCTAACCCAGGGACTTCCCTTCTGTTCCCTTCCTAGATCCAAAGGGAATAGAGACTCGGATCTTGTGAGTCCTTGGCGTTTTGCTGCCCCTGATACTGGTGGGAAAGGTGGAGCTGCCCTTGTGTGTGTGCGAGTGTATGGTGTGCCTGTGTGTGTGTGTGTGTGTCTGTGTAAATGTATGCATTCTTTAGCAAAGGGACTAACATTCAGGTTAAGGATGACCTTGAACAACTAGATAATAGGGAGACACAGCAGAAGAGATAAGCTCCTCAAGAAGGGAGTGAAGCAGTGGCATGCTGGACAGCTCATGAGGGATGACTGTACACCTGTCTGCATTCAGTGGCATCACACTGGTGGCTTGAATGTGGCCACGGTGGGAGTATTTACACCTTGGAAATTGGCAAATGCTTCAAATCAAGTGTCCCCACTCCACCCCCACTCCCTGCACATAACCAACTGTGTAATATTTACTAGCACATCACTAGACCCAGTGATGGAAATTTCTAGCTCCCAAGAAAGGCAGGTCAGAGGAATCAGTTACCACGTTTTACATTTTCTACTTCTCTTTCTTATTGCTATACTGTATGCAGCAGGTACCCTGGTAAGACTCAAGAAATCTAAATTGTAGTCCTGTTGCTACCACTATCCAGCCATGTGACCTTGGTATACTACAGAGCCTCTCTGAGCCTCTGTAAAGTGAAAGGATTGGACGAGGTGATGGTCAAGCTTTCTTTAGCTCTGAAAGTCCTTGATTCAGGGCTTCAGTTTCTTTCCCACTTTCTCCAGGGGCTGGTAAGGCTGCAAAATCTGGGCATAGGCATAGTCCAAGCCAAATTCTGAGAAATGATGACAAAAGCAAAAAAAACTTGCCAGTGATTATGGATTTCTCTACATTCCTGCTGATTCTAAAATCTCCAGAACTGTAAGGGAAATGTTTTTTTTCCAGAACCTCAGCCCCTGGAGTTGACTGGCATTTCTTTCTCACTTCTCTAAATTGTCAGGTGTTTCCAAATAGCTGATGCCCCTTTATTTTTGCTCAAATGGTGAGAGCTTGATGTATGGTTTTCCTTAGCAGCAGCAAGGCTAAACGGAAAGAGCTTGGACTCAGAAGTCATAATGGGCTGAGCTGAACTCAAATCCCTGCTTTGTCATTAGAGTTGTGTAGATTTAAGTAATTTACTTCATCTTTGTGAGTCTTTGTTTTTCCATCTGCCAAATGGGGATGATCCTCTTTGGTTCATAGGGTTATACCGAGGCTCGAATAAGATACCACTTAAATTGCCCAGCTTGGTCTTCAGTACAGAGCTTCCATTCAGTGAGTGATAGTCCTCTTCCTCATCCCTTTTCTGGGTGCAAAGCTCAAGTCCTTCATCTGAGAGCTCCACGCCAGTCCAGAGATTATGTTAAAATTAAGCCCTGGGACCACAGCTTCGCTCACCCACCCCTAACCCTCTCCAAGGCCACCAAATGTTTCTGGATCCCCAGGTCTGGGACTCCTTAGATTATAAAGATTTTAAGCAGCAACTCCTATTCCAGCTTCCTTGCCCACCCTGCTGTAAAGGTTGCACCAGATGAGTGTGACTCTCAGGGGTGGGACAGGGGGACTGAGAAGGGGCTGTTCTCTGAGGTCCTGGTCCCACCTACTGTCACCTCTCTCCCAGTGCCTTTGTTGCTCTTTGGTCACTAGCCCAGGCTTGTCTTTCTGCAAGCCACTGGAGCCAGAGAAGGGTGTAGGCTTCCTCTTCCCTCTGGCTCAGAAGCAGGCAGGAATCAGCAGTTTCCTCCTGACAAGGCCCCCTCTGGGCAATGGGAACCAGGCAGGACTGTGGAAGGGGGTTAACCCTTGCATTTCCTCTCCACCTCTCCTGACTGGTTAGGGACCATAAGGTATAGAGTATCAGTGCTATAAAGAACTTTGGAGATTATCTAGTTCAGCCTCCTCATTTAATAAAAGTGAAATAATATGGGTGCCTAGGTGGTACAGTCGGTTAAGCATCTGACTCTTGGTTTTGGCTCAGGTTGTGATCTCAGGGCCCTGATCTCAGGGTTGTGAGATCGACCCCCTTATTGGGCTCCACGCTCAGGTGGGAGTCTGCTTGAGATTCTCTCTCCCCCTCCCTCTGCCCGTCTGGCCCATGTGCTCTCTCTCTCTCTGTCTCTCTAAAATAAATAAATTAATTAAAAAAAAATAAAAGTGAAATAAGAGCAAATAACTGGTTCTGTTATTGTGATTAATATTAACAATTATAGCTTCCATTTATTGAATGTTTATTATGTGTCAAGTATGGTGCTAAGCACTTCATATACATTTTCTATTTGATCTCCATAACAGTCATAAAAAGAGGATAGTATTATCTCTATTTTAAAGATGAAAAATTACAGCTCAGACCAAATACATAGCTTGCCCAGAGTCATACAGTTTTAAGTGGTAGAACTGATTTTAAGTACAAATCCACTGGACTTCAAAGTCTATTGTCTTAACCACTATCCTATCATACCAAGCAAATGATGGCGGGAACAGAAGCACAGATGAGGCATGACACGTTTTCTTGCTTTAAGATGTGGTTTTTGCTTTCAATAGCAGGCACCCTCAATTTAGGGTACACAAAAGGCCATACAGGCCCCTTGGTCTCAGATTTTTCCCCAGGCTGCAAATCCATAGGCCACAACACTTTGCACAGAAATCTATCTTAGCACTTGTCACACATCCCAATAGTTAACTAATAATGGTAAACCTAACACAGTGCTAATCTGTGCCATGTATTATCTTATCTGATCATCCCATGAGGTAAGCATTATGATCCCCATCTCACAGATGATAATGTAGAGACATTAAATTACTTTTGAAGCCAGGAAGTGGCACAGATAGTATCTGGACTGTGATCTTTGTCTCTGAGGCCCAAACTCCTAGCCACTGTATTACATTGCCAGTATCTCCCTCTCTTTCCCTCTCCTTTTCTCTCTCTTTCCCACTAGATTATGAGACATGTGAGAGTAGTTATTACATCTTTTTTATATGTGCATCCCCAGTGCCCGGGACAGTGCTAAGCACTCGGAACATCTTCAATATTCTCTTGTTAAATGGATGGATGGGTGGGTGAATGGATGGGTGATGGATGGATAGAGGGAGGGATGAATGGATAGATGGATGGATGATGGATGGATGGATGATGGACGGACAGATGGGTGGATGTATAGATTGTGGTGACCACTTAGATGGTGGCATCTTGACCCTCTGTCAGGACAGTGCTCACCACTGATGTTCTTGTATCTGCTGTCCTCAGGTCTGGATCCCGAGCTTCCCTTCCTCTCCTCTTTTCCCTTTGCCCAGACTCTGGATTCTTCTTCCCTAGTTTTCAATCTACCAGTCAAGCTTGACTCCCTTCCCTCTCCTCCGACTTACATATCCCCCTGACTATGAGACTCCTGCACTTGGCTTCCCAGTGGCCTACAAAGCCCTCCATGTGCACTATCTGGTCCCTGTCATCGCTGCCCGGCCTCATCCCTTACTGCAGCGGCCTCCCTACCTCTTCACACACACCGGGCATGCCCTGAATTCTTTGCACTTGCTGTTCCCTCTCCGGAATGTTTTCCCCAGATATCAACATGACTCACTTCCTTACCTTCCTCAGTCTTTGCTCAAATGCCACTTTTTCAATGAATCAATCTTCTTGGGTACTGCCCCTCCCTCTTCCCTGCTTCATTTTTCTCTACAGTAATTATTGCCATCTGACAGACTACACCTCTTAGGTATATATTTGTCACCCCTCACTCATGAAAGCTCCACGAAGGCAGGGCGCTTCGCTGGCTCGGTCGCTTCAGAAGCCGGCTGGGCCTACACCAGGGCCTGGTGTGGTGCAGGCACTCGCTATGCACTTTTGGAACAACTCGATGGATCAACACACCCACTCCAAGTGTCGGGTCTAGGTCAGGCTCTGTGTTCCTGGTTCTAACCAGATAACGTGAACCTGAAAACCCCTGTCTTTTGAAGCCGTGGGTGGCCCGGTGAACAGGGTGCGCACCGGGTCACCCGCCGGAAAACGGACGCCAGAAGGGCGGGATCAGGGGGAGGGGGAGGGGGAGCGCCTCCTTACCGCCTTGGTGCACTGGACGTCCTTCCCCAGGAGCCAGTTGAGCTCCAGGTTGCCCTCCCCCTGGTAGCAGGACTGCAGGCGCTCCTTGATCTGCAGGTTGATGGCCCGAATGGGGAAGGCACAGAGGGCAGAGTCGTCTGGCGGGTGGTGGTACTGCTTCTGCCCTTTGGAGAAGAGAGCAAAGAGCACGTCATCCTGGCCGCTGATATTGAAGGCCTGGGCCAGGGAGTCCCCGGGTTTGGCGAGGTAAGCGGCCTGCAGGAGGCGGTACTCCACGCCAGCCCGAGTGCAGCCGAAGGGCAAGGACACGTAGGAGTGGAACTTGGGATCGTCCTTGCAGAGGCGAACGATGCGGGACGTGTAGAACAGGTCCCCCGCCGAGTTGATGGCCACGCCCTCGGGGGTCTCGGGCTGCACCGTCAGGAAGTAGACGAAGCCCCCGCTGGCGAAGCCGTAGATGTAGAAGATGTCGAAGTGGGCGACCAGGGCCAGGGTGTCGGAGGGGATCTTGATGAGGGAGGAGACGAAGTCGCTGTGCAGCTCGTAGTCGAGCATGGCGGAGGACTCGGGGTCGCGGGGCAGCTTCCGGCTGGACAGGGTCGGGAAGTAATCCTGCTTGCCGTCCACGGCAGTGCCGATGAACAGCTTGCCGTCCTCGCCGTCCGAGCGCACGATCACGCCGTACATCGTGCCGGTCTTGTTGACGCTGGACAGGTAGTGCTCCTTCTTGTGTGACGGCTCCACCAGGATGAACAAGTCGTCCAGCCGCAGCAGCTTGCACACCCCCTGGTAGAGGCTCCCGCAGGCCAGCAGGCGGTTCTCCGAGTAGTCGATGATGAGCAGCTTGTTGACGTTGTTGGTGAGGGTCAGCACCTCGCCGCAGGGCTGCACGATGAGCGGGGGGTAACAGGACTTGTTGTCCTCTTCCGGCCCCGTCTTGTGAGCCACCTGGATGGTCAGGTTGCCCGTCAGCTTGTACACCCGATTGATGGCCCCCACGTACACTGCCCCCGTGCCTCGGTGCACGGTCAGGTGGTTGAAGGTCCAGTCCCGGTTCTCCGAGTGGAAGGTGCTGAACTGAGGCATGCCGGCCGCCCCGGGAGCCAGCAGCACCCAGACCATGGAGAGCAGGACCACAGACCAGCTGTCAACCTCTGCAGCGCGTGGCCAGGGCCTCCTCTCTTCCATTCTGAGTGGGGTGGAGGGGAGGAGGACACAGATCCTCGGAGTTCTCATCTACTCCACCTTCCTGGGCTGGCCCTCACATGGTTCTGGAAAACACAAGGCAGAGTGGTCAGATGGAAAAAATAAATAAATCCTGGGAAGAGGGAATAGGATGGCTTGACCCAGGGCCCCAATCCCGGCTAGCTCTGAGTCTCTTCCTTCTGTATTTTGGTTTTTCTATTTTTAATATACTCTCCCCCTCTTTGGGATGTTCAGGGAATCCTGTTATCTATTTTGGTCTCCAGCCTCTACGCTGTAAAATACTTTTTTTTTTTTTTACTTTACAAAGCATCTCTATTTTTGTCTTCTTAAGACATCGTTTTCATCTCTTGGAGAGGTTAAAAGACTGTTTAAGTTCCCCCAGCCAGTCGATCTGAGTGTCAGCACTAAAGCCGGTCTTCCCTACCCAGGTGTCACGTCTGTCCTCTCCCGGTCGAGTGGAAATCTCTCCTGTTTTTGAAAAGCTTGTTTAGAAGGCCCTCTTCCAGGCTCTCTAGGACAACTACTCCCAGAGCCTGATGTCGCCAATAAAATTCCTTCTTATTCCAGACTACCCAGCCCCTCACACTGCTGCATTTCAGCGCTTTTTCATGCTCTGCCCTCCACAGGGAAGGAGAAGAGCTGTTCATCCTGAAAAACAGTGCCCCCCACTGCTCCTCAGCCTCGTCGTCTCCAGAAAGGAGAGGCCCTGAGTGTTAGCTGTTGAAACTTGTTAGAAAAGTGAAATATGGGGAGACTGATAGGACCGGGGTTCTCACGTGTGCCATTCAGGGGCCTGAACAGCCCCAAGGAGAAGCGTGGACACTCCCCCCACCCCCCTCTGGGACAGGGGGATGGCAGCCACTGCCTCTGGGCTGAGCCGAAGGTGCTCCCATTTTGGCTTCTCTACAGGTGAAGCCCGGGAGGAGCCAGCCTCCTTGCTGAGGGGGACTGGCTACCTGAGTCCAGCTTGAGCCACCTGGGCAAGAGTTCTGGGTTTCGAGAACGGGGGGAGGAGCAAAGGGAGGTGAGTCGATGATCAGTCTCATTCCAGCCCCTGCTGGGGCCCCGTGACTGTTTAAGGATGCGTGAAGTCCATGCCAGGCCTCAGCCTGTCCTGCTTGAAGTCCAGTCACTCTCCTGTCCCTCCGACCCCCAGGCCCTAAAGCTTTTCTGTATTCTAAGGAAGCTGCCCAGAAGGGCAAGGTGGGGCTCCTGTGGAGAGCTTCCAGACTCCTGGGCAGAGAGGATGGGAGAGTAGAGCTTGTCCCATCTCTAAGAGCACTGCCTCTGACTGCCAGGGACAGGGAGAGTGGCGAGGCAGCGAGCTGTCTGGCAGAGAAATCTGCTCTCCAGCTGGACAGACTGTCCGGCAACCTTCTCAGACAAGTCCAGACAGAACTCTGGGCAGGAATGGAAACAACCAAACCAAGGATGGAGAATTTGCTCCAAGGCGGCTTAGAAGAGTCGTGTCTCTTTCAACTCCGCCCCCGCCCCCGTGCGCGCCTCCTCCCCCCAAATCTGGCTGGAATGGGTTAGAATTAGAACAGGCGCCACCTTGGGAATCCGCAGTTTTTGCTCTGTGTCTTTAGAAACGCTCCTCCTCAAGGCCTGACAGCCACCGTGGTGCCAGAGCGAGGCCCCACCTGACCACCCTCCTCCAACCAGGCTCCACTGGGGTGTTCTGGGCTGACTCATGAGGCCCCAGGCTTCCTTGGAAAGAGGAAGGCACCAGCGGCATGAGGCCCAGGCTGACCTCAGCGGCTCCGACACAGCCCTTCCGGCCCCACGCGCGCACCAGCAAAGTCTCCCGACAGACAGGGCTTTCGGTTTGGAAACCAGAGGTTATTTTTAGTGACGTCCTGGGGCCGGTAGCAGGACGTGAATTCCTCAAGAGGAGCTGTGGAAAGGAAATAACAGAATCCTCCCATTCTGCAGCTGGACTGGGAACGACCAGAGACCATTCTGGGCATGTCCCTGTCTCTGGGTAGGAAAGCTCCTCTGGCCCGGCGGAGGGCAGGGTGTCCCACAAGGGGCTGTGAGGGAGGCCGCGAAAGCGTCACCACCCCACACGTGGGGTTTGGCCGTTGAGAAAGTGTGCTCTCAGACACCCCGGCACTGAGCTGGTGGGAATGTTACACTCCTGCCTTCTCACAACATGCGTACAACATACATGTTTAGCCCGTGGCTGGAGGAAGAAGGTTCTGGTAGCAGAGATAACACCAAAGCACACGGTGTGAGGTTAAGATCAACCATCTCACCACCACCACCCCCCACCCCCGGCCCCCCCGGCTCACTCTCCTCCTGAGGCACAGTTTGAAAAGTGAGTGGCTTTTGTTAGGCACAATTTGGGGACAAGTTGGGCTCTGGGGCAAGCCAAGTCTCATCTCCCTTTCTGGCAGAATGAGGACAACGACAGAAGGTACCTCTCAAGGTTGTCACAAGAGCGAATGAGATGACGTGGGGAACCTCTTAGCATGGCGCCTGGCACACAGTGAGTGCTCAACTTGTGCCAACTGTTATTATCATCACTGAAGCCTCCCCAGGACACTGCACTTCAGGAATCCTGCCAGAGCTCCTGAGCTCCCTTTTTGCTCATAGTCTTCCTTTCCATGGGAATAAACATTGTGGTTAGACCTTGAGACCCAGCTCTCCCTGACCCAGTGAAGGCGCTCAATCTGGGAAGCCTGTGTCAGGGGAAAGGGAATAGATCCAAGGCGATCTTCTCTATCATACTACTGCACAAGTCCCAACATAGCCTCTCAGCAGCCAGCAGGGAGGCTGGTGGAAGTACAGAACGCTGGGAGGTAAACTATGAATGGGAAAATGGCGTGATAGCTATGAAGTCTTAGGGCAGGAGGAAGAATGGGGGGGGACTCGGGAACCCAGGATTCAAATCCTGCCTGTGTCCCCCATGAGTACTATGGCTTTAAAGTGGTCTAGCATCTTCCTGAGCCTATTTCTTGATCTTAAAATAAAGAGTGCTTGAATTAACCAGTTTGTACGATTTCTTCTTTCAGATGAAGTGATAACTTTGAGGCTTGTTTCCTTTAGCTTCTAGAGTTTGTCATTGAGACTGAGGTCCTTCCACGCTACCTGGTAAGGCTGGTTGGGCCAGGAGTTCTCAACAGACCACTATAGTGGGCTGTTTCCCTCTCATTCCTTTATCAGCGTCTATTCTGGGACCGACAGCTCCTGGGACCTTCTGATCTTGAAGCAGCAGGTACTGGTGCACAGGAGTCAAGAGGAGGCATGGTCTGCAGTGCAGGGCTGGCAAGGGAGGCTCACGGTCCACTTTGGGAATGTGGCTTTCCCAAGGACAATGGACTTAACAGCCAAGTTGGGAGCCTCCGTCTCTCCATGCCAAGGCTGATATTACCAAGTAGCCATTCCAAGGCAGGGCCAGCTGGCAAGGATCAGGTCTCCTATCTGAGTTCAGAGGAAAGCAGAACATTTGTGCCTCTGGTGAGAGACAGTGTGCTCTAATGGTTAAATGCATGAGCTCTGAACTTAGCTGCTTGGATTCAAACAGAGCCGACAGCTGTGTAAACTTGGTCAAGGTACGTAGCCACTCTGTGGTGCTCTGTCCCTATCTATCTAAAATGGGATTAGTAGTAGTATCTATCTCATAGGATTATGACCATGAAGTCAGTTAATACATATAACGCACTTAGAATGATGTCCATTTGAAACGTTCCAGAGACATTAGCCTTTATTATTAATAATTTATTTGTCAATATTTCCAGCTCTTCATGAACTCTGCCATTCCATGATCTGTCTTAAAATGAATTCTCCAGCCTCGGTTTGGTAGAAGCCAGCAAACATGTGCCTATGACTTTGTATACCCAGCATTTCGTCCTAATACCAACTGTCTAATGTCAACCTGGGGAGTTTTCCCTTAATGATGCCTCCTTCTTTCCGTCATTTCTCTCTCTGTGGCTGTTTGTGAAGTCAGTTTGTCAGATGCATTCTCAAGAGCCAAAACTTGCCTATTCTCTCTTCTCCCCACCCCCAGTCCAATTCAGGACATGCTGCTCCGGGACACTCGCCCTATCAGCCGACCCTCTGGAGACGTGTTACTCAGAGCATGCCGCATACCAAGAAGAGGTCACACTTGCCTCTTTGGGAAGCAAGTATCACTAAATATTTTATCTGGAGGGCTTGATGACACCGTCTCCCCCATCAGGACTCAGGAGGCAGATGTTGGGGACAGCCAGTGGAAGCATCTAATACCTTCCAGATCAGCTGCTGTAGGTGTCGGAGGCAAAGCAGGGAGGAAATGACAATCAGGCACTCCCAGTTCAGCTCAGGGCAGGACTCTCTCCTCCCCACCTACCTGCTCTGGTGCCTTTTCCCAGGAGATCTGGGTGACGCAGACCTCTATGACCTCTATGCTTTCACTTGGTCTCCATTATAGCAAAAGGAGCCAATAGGAAGAGGAGTTAGAACCGGGATACCATCCTTCCTTCTTCCTTCCTTCCTTCCTCCCTCCCTTCCTCCCTCCCTCCCTTCCTTCCTTCCTTCTTTCCTTCCTTCTTTCTATAAGAAACCACAGATCATGGAAAGAAAAAATTGTCCAATGTGACCCCAAATGAGTCACGGACAGGCTAGACCTTGTGACAAAAAGCCTCGTGCTTCCTCTGCTGTAGGTGAAAGGGTCCTGGGAGTCAGTTATGTTCCACCTTGAGACTGCCCCATTTGAGGGAAAGAAGGTGCCTTTGATGGTGGCAGTCCCCTGATGGGCAGAAGTGAGCCTGCCGCCAGGCCTGGGCAGGGAGTGAGTTCGCAGGGCAGACTCAAGGAGGAGAGGGACTAGGGACTGAGGGGGACGAAAGAGCCACTGTCAATGGCTCCTTTCTCTGTCAGGAGAACGACCTCCTCTGACCTACTCAAAGCTGCAGCCGTTGTGACATGCTGGAATGGCACCCACACTGTGACTTGGGCGCTGTGCTGTCCCATGCCACATCCCTCTGGGCTGCAGACAACCTCACAGATAGGTCAGATGTAGTCTAAGCGGCAGGAAGCCTCTTCCCCCAAAGAGTTAGAACTGCAGCAGGAGAGACTAAAG